TCTGTAATCTGTAAATACCTTTGTAACTTGCCATGATTGTGACTAGACCTACCTGGAGTTCATTACCTTTGTAAATTGTGAGTTCATTACCTTTGTAAATTGTGAATTCATTACCTCTGTAACTTGCTCAGCTATCAAAACTTTGAGGCCCAGTCCCTGGACCCATTATGTACCTCTGTAATCTTTTGACTACCGCCCACTGGATGGGTATGGGGTGCATAATAAACATATTAAACTAACTAACACTTTCCTTTGCTACTCCTTATCGAACCTAATTGTCTCTCATTCCCTAGGCGTTGTATGACCCCTACGGGTTTAACACTTCACATTAATGTAATAAAACTGGCAGTCGAGCAAGGGAAGCAGGTGTTGGGTAACGTGCCCATACATTTTGCCCCGCCCAAGACTGCACCCTGGTCTTTTCGACTGCAAGTCGAGTGCTTTACCGTTGAACTACGAGCAGTAGCGGTAGCAACAGGCAAAATTATTACATGCATGGGAAAAACGCTAAACCCGTAGAGGTTATACACCGCCTGGGAATGGGAGGTAATGATGTTTGAGCCAAAGAAGGGGAAAGTAGCTCTAGTTTCTTAAATGGCATCATTCTGTGATTCGTTTGCAATCGTGATATTAGGATTTCGTGAGTCAGGAACATAGAAATTAGCAGTACTTGCAGCAAGCTTAGTGGCCCATGCTAGGCGAATCCTTAAAAAAAAAAATCTTACTCATGACTAGTGGACGAGCAACGAGGTTGTAGAAGGCAGCCTCTGTACAAAGATACCATGGCGTTGCTCAAAAAGTATTATTATATTAATAATATATAATACCGACAAGTATATGGCACTTGTCTGGCACACTGAAACGTGTCTGACACATAATTATGCATGTCTGATACATGATGATACGTGTCTGACACATAATACGCCTGATACATGATGATACGTGTCTGACACATCATAATAAGCGGAGTCTAACTTACAGCACAAGCTATACTGTCTCCAGGATGCAGGTGCACTATATACGCAGGCAATGTCTTTCCAATTGAGGGACACTTTGGGTGTCCGTCTCGGAAACTTGCCTTTGTTGCTGATTGTTTCAGCGACGAAGACTTGGTAAGACTGTAACCATCGCCATCCAGACTCTCATAAGAAACTACTTTTTCATTTTCCTCTCACCCATACTCCGGGCGAAGAGGTCAGTCTTCGTCAAGAAACTCGTCTGCGATTTCACCATCCTTTCTCCTGACAACCTTCGCAAGTCTATTGTCGGACAGAACACCTAGAAATAACCCAAATCCCTACTGCCTCCTCAATGCTAAAACTAAGATTTTCGGACATTTCTATGGTTTCTATTGCTCTGTTGATATAAACGACGGACTAGGCATCTTTTATTACCATAACAAATCTCTTAACATCGAGCCCAAACACTACCATCATATCACTCAATGCCGAACCTTCTATGCTTACACCCACTCCATCAAGGACTGCTCTCTCAAGAACAAACAGTTTTGTTAACCTGAATGTCCCAAGACCGATCAGCCTAAGCGCTTAAACTGTAAAGGTGACCACCCCAGCTTTGCTGCTGGATGCCCTATACGCTAAAAGATTGGCCATAAAAACTCACCGACTTCCAGAGGAAACCTCAGGACACCAATGGGCCGACATAAGCTGCCATCACACGCCTCAGGCGGACACTCCGAAAATGCGAAAAGTGGCCCCAGCAACTAACCTTCCCCGCCTCCACTATCATGCATCACCAAAACAATCTTAACCTGTCTCGTGTTTACCCACTTACAGAGCGCCTCCAACCCAGGAACTTCCGTATAACCCGCACATAGGAGAATTAACTTATGACGTCGTTTCGGTGTCCGACTTGGACCATTAACTAGTCACACAGAAGCGCAAATGGGGACGGGGCCTTGCGCTGGGTGTTTGACACCAGCTGAAAGAACTTACTACATGTGAATCCCTCCATGATGGGAAAAACCTGCCGACGCTAAACGTGTACTAGAAGACACTCAGTGACAAATTTAAGAACTTGAGACAAGTCATCTGGACAATTCACCTTGACGAAAACATACTCAAACCTATAAACCCACACAACTTATTGTATTCTTTACTAGCACCTGCACCTCACACACTATACAAATAAATCACCTCCCCAGGTTCGTCTTTAAGGTCCTAGACTTTTAATAATGTCCCTTTTTCAATTCTGCCGTGCCCTAACTCTTTACTACTACAACCTTTGCTGTGAGGAGTGCAAGGAGAAGCCTTGTGACAGCATTTGTGCCCATTCTGCCCGCTGCCTCCCTGCTTAGCCTCCTGCCGCTTCGATTTCTCATCTGTTGAGTTAAGCCCTGGTTCTTTCCCCTAAAAGCCTTTCCTCTCACCAACTTATTCTTACACAATTCCCACTTCTCCGCTCACCCCACCGGGTCTTCCCTGTATCTGTAGCTTCATCTCACTCATGGAAGCTTTGGAGCTGAACACACGCCAAGGCTAAGGGACTGACTTTCTCAGTTTTTTCTTTCTTCAGCCTGGGGACTAGTTACCTCATATCTATATCTCCGCAACTTCTGTTGGCTCCTCTGTATTTCGACTAAAGAAGCTTGCTGAGCAGGCGAAACGTCTCGTCAATAAAGATATCAAATTGTTGCACATGTGTCATACTCATCTACTTACTAGTATTGTGTACCATTAATATAAAGATTGTGGACAGACAGGAAAAGAGAGGTAAAAAAAATTTGTGGGTAGACAGGAAGAGAAATGTAAGAAAAGTTATAAGTAGACAGAAAAAGAGGTAAGAAAGATTGTGGATAGACAGGAAGAGGTAATAAAGGTTGTGTGGATAGACAAGAAGAGAGAGGTAAGAAAGGCTGTGGATAGAGAAAAAAATGAGAGGTAGAAAAGGTTGTGGATAGACAGGAAGAGAGAGGTAAGACTAGGTTGTGGACAGAGAGGGAGAGGTAAGAAAGGTTGTGGACAGAGAGGAAAGGAGAGGTAAGAAAGGTTGTGGCTAGAGAGGAAGGGAGAGGTAAAGAAGATTGTGGACAGAGAGGAAGGGAGAGGTAAGAAAGGTTGTGGACAAAGAGGAAGGGAGAGGTAAGAAAGGTTGTGAACAGAGAGGAAGGGAGAGGTAAGAAAGGTTGTGGGTAAACAGGAAGAGAGATAATAAAGGTTGTGTGGATAGTCAAGAAAGAAGAGGTAAGAAAGGCTGTGGATAGAGAAAAAAAATGAGAGGTAGAAAAGGTTGTGGGTAGATAGAAAGAGAGAGGTAAGACTAGGTTGTGGACAGAAAGGAAGGGAGAGGTAAGAAAGGTTGTGGACAGAGAGGAAGGGAGAGGTAAGAAAGGTTATGGACAGAGAGGAAGGGAGAGGTAAGAAAGGTTGTGGACAGAGAGGAAGGGAGAGGTAAGAAAGGTTGTGGACAGAGAGGAAGGGAGAGGTAAGAAAGGTTGTGGACAGAGAGGAAGGGAGAGGTAAGAAAGGCTGTGGACAGAGAGGAAGGGAGAGGTAAGAAAGGTTGTGGACAGAGAGGAAGGGAGAGGTAAGAAAGGCTGTGGACAGAGAGGAAGGGAGAGGTAAGAAAGGCTGTGGACAGAGAGGAAGGGAGAGGTAAGAAAGGCTGTGGACAGAGAGGAAGGGAGAGGTAAAAGGGGCCACTGTGGATGGGTTTAAAGTAGTTTTTGGTCACCTTGTCATTAGTATCACTATGGCTAACATGGGATAGTTACTGTTAGTTTGCTCTAAGAAAATAATTGTATTTATAAATTATGTATAAATTTATAGGGAAGCGCTAAACCCATAAGGATCATACAGCACCTGCGCAGTAGATTGTAAACAAGACTGATACAAGAGAGTGTAGCTCGTAATTCTTGAATCGGTCTTCATCGAGTTTAAGTCATGGTTAGAACTCATGGATTTTATTATTATGTAAAATACAAACATAAACCTTACCAATAAATGTTATATCCTGTGCATTTTTTTTTATTTTTTGGGGGGAGATATAAACAAAAAAATACCTTTAGTTGGGCACATCAGACCCAATCGCAAGTTAGTACAGAGTCGTGTAAAGCGCCTGGCCAATCACAGGAGCGTGAACAAAGACGCATCGAATTTAAACACAGGCACGCCATTTCCACATCTACCGCTGGAGGAGTAAGCCAAGTTAGATTATTTTAGATTGGGTTATATTGAGTGTCCTTAGATTACGTTACGTTTCTTACCATTTCCACACAATAAACCCACGTAATATTGGCCATTTACAAGATTAAATTATCGATGAACTCAAACCAAGATCTGAGTCAATAATGATCCTTGGATCAAGATCCTTCGCCAGCATGCAGACACCCACCTTCAAGGGCTGCATTTATAAACAAGTAGAAATCGAGAAATATTTTGCAACTAGGTTGCCCAGCTTTAGGTGTTGTACATCAGTTCTTGTAATTACTAGCCAGCGTAGAGGGAACAGTAAAAAAACAAAAACAAAAATATTTCATTCAAATATGCGTTGACAAAATGCCAATCACAACGACATACGCAGTTTAATTTTCTTATTAAAAATAGAGAAATATAAGACTTTAGTATATAACTGCAGCCATTTGGCATCTGAAGCCGTTGTAAAGAAGACTGTAAAATAAGGTTCAATAGTTACTTTACAATGATAATAGTACAGAAATGTAATGATCAACAGAATGCCAAACTTAATTACGCGCTTAGTGCAGTACTGGGAAAATAAATAAGTACAGATGACTGAAGTCTTAAAAGTTACTTAGCGAATAATTACTAACAAATGATAATAATGTACTATTATACACATTAATTACAATGACAAGGAATTCTTTGCCACTTTGTCAAGACTTAGAATCATGACAACAATCAGTATTAAAAGTTTTTTGAAAATAGGCATTAAGCTCTTTTTAGGTGATTTAAGCGTCTCAGCCACCAAAATCGAATCGCTAAAAGTAGCCAAGATGCTTCTTTGTTTGTGCGGTTAGCGCCATCTATTGTGAGCGAGCAGCCTCTCCACTCCGAGTGTTCATAGTCTGTGATTCTGCACTAGTGAATGGAGATACCGACACCCAAAATTCACTTTCGCAAATTGCCTAGTTAAATACGTAAGTAGGCCTGCCGGGAATCCAGCGCCTTGTAAGACATCGAGGATCGGGGAAAAGGTGGTTCTGGGAGCTTGAGGTGTCCAGGCAGCTGGTAATCGTACTAAAAGTAATCGCATATCCAGTCGCCATTTTGATCATTTCGGACCCCTCCTTCTGTCAGCTGTCCTGTTTGTTAAATTTACTCAGTTGTGATTCTCAATATTTCTAAGTCTCATACGACATCCACAGGTGTTCATTAGGTATTTGTCTTTATCTTGATTTTCTTTGTGAGTAAGAACATGTCTACACAAGGCCAGGATAAGTTGAAGTTTTGAAGTTATCCTTTGTAGAAGCTTTAGAAAATTATTCCGGTAATTTTCAATATTTATGTATTGAACGGGTCTTCGTGTAGCAGTTTAAGAGTATTCACTTTATACTTTCTTTCTTTTGTTGTGAGACATGTGTTGGGAGAGGTCCTGTGACGAAACTATCAGGAAAAACACTTGCACCAATAACACCTTATATATTTTCAAGTCTGCACTATAATAGGTTTAGTTTAGTGTTGTGGGAGAACATCAGACTGAGCCCTGACAAGTCTAGTTAATTATGACTATTATGTTTTGTTTACACTGGATAATAATAACTGGGAATTTTGAATGTTTTTAATTTATGGTTGCACCATTGACATTATCACTGTTCACTGGTATTTTATTTATCAGTTTATTCATGAATATTGTAATCTAGTCATGATATTGTTTACCAGTTTTAGTAGGGCAAAAATATTGAAATTAAAAATATTTTGGGTTCTTATTGGCAAGGCAGAATGACACTAGCTGATAAATATGCAATGGTGAGGAGACACCTGTGCATAATTTAACTTAACTCGGCCTACTGTAAGTGCAGTCGTCCAGACAACATAACCAAAATACTTAAATATATCGGTATTCTTAGTCGCTACAAGGAAGGCTCACCTAATTCTAACTATTTTAGAGCAAAAGTTCACTGTTAATCTTTCTCCTCAAGAGAGATCTGTGATGCAGGTGAAAGGTTCTTGGGCTAGAATGTCTTAATATAGTTAAATAGTCTCTTTTAGTAACTTACTTTTCTCTTCAACTTGGGAGAAACATTACACCTGTGGGTCAATTAGAGAAATGTGTGATAGAGGCTGTATCGTCTGTTAAATGCAAGATGCGTGCACTATTGTGAACATGCATGCACTGTTGCCAAGGGTTTAGATTTCTATTAACCAGAACTACAAAGTCTCTTGTGATTGTTAGATTTATAGCCTTTATTTACTGTAGTTTATTGGTGGTGATGGTGTGGTTAAGGGTCGTGATAGCCTGAGAAGCTGAATTGATCCTACCACTTCGGCTCTGGAATCATGTGCTTGTTGGGGTGTCAGCTTCTAAGCTCTCCACTCTCTGCAGTGTCTTAACTTCCATAAGGCATTTTAAGCTAACTAGAAGCACTTACAGTGGAAACTATCTCCCCAACCATGAAATGCTGCTAGCAGTGCAAGATGTGCCTTGGGCCAGGGCAAGAGAGATGTGCTGCAAGGCAAGTGGGTCAACAAAACATTCAATCCTCTAGAAAGATGACACGCTCAGTACACATGGGTGCAGGAAATAATGTCGGGTGAAGTCTCCTACTTTTCAAGTCGTTGACATCAGCAAGTTATATAGCAGGGTGGTAAATAAAATTGACCAACATAAATTAGGTTTAGGTTAGGTTAAGCTGTACTGTGATGTTAGTGTATCCAGGAATGTTGGAGTATCTGGTGGAGGAGTAGTAATCTTCAGAGGCAAGTAGTAATCTTCAGAGTATGTATGTGGTGCAGGCAGTGTGGTGGTTGCTTGCCTATGCCAGGCTGAGGCCTAGGGAGAGGGTTGGGGGGGACATCTTGCTGCTCATAGGTCTGCTGAGTGAGTAAGGAAGATGCACACTGTCATGGACCCACCTCTAGGTTTTGAACATAGCCCGCCAGATAGCAGCACCAGGCCTAGGTGGCATGGGAAAAAATACAAACCCGACTGGGGTTACATTAGTGCTTGGCAATAGTTTTTCTAAATTTATGTGGGAGAACATTGTCAATAGGAAAACATCGAAGACTACTTCAGACTAATTTCTGACTTGGGAAAATGGTGATATCACCTGCATTTTGGGAAATGTATAAACCCCTCACAGAGCACTGGGTCAACAAGTGGAGTGTATCTGTCAGATCATGGTGCCAAAATCGAAACACCTCTCTCCATACCCTGGAGAGTAACTGTGACCCATACCTAAAAGTACTGTATCATTATCAGAAGGATGTGGGCAAGGGAAGTTGCTATATTTCTGTATTAACTATCTTGTTTCCTTGAATACTTGTTGAACAGATCAGCTTAGAGAGAGCCAAACAGGAGAAGAGAAAAAGGAGGGTCAATATGCACTTTACTTCCGGGATTTTTTTTTTTATGTATTAAGTATGTACTCTGTGCAGTGGTGATGTATATATTTAGTGCCTACAGTTTTTTTTTTTTTTTTTAGTATCGCTTAATCTAATGTTACCTAACTGCCAATTTTACAATTGGGTTAGGTTAGGTTTGGTTGAATTGGGTTAGATCGTGTTATTAAACTAATCAAAATGAAGTGGCTTTCCTATTTGTTTAAAATATAACTGATTCCTTTGAAAACCCAGTTAATAAAACAGAATTTGCATAAATAATAATCTTTTTTTGTTTATTGTTACCTAAATAAGCAATTTCCACAATATATGACTATTTTTCTGTGGTTATTTGTAATACAGTAGCATAAAAATGTTATTGTATTTCTCTCGGAAAAATATGTTCATAATGGCCAAGAGGAGAAGTAACTGTTGTAATAAGGAAAGAGAGTTCTTACCATTCCCTACATTAAACTATATCTGCCAGTTCTACCTATAATATTCAAGTCATTTTGAATCTCTTGTTGTCCCTGCAGAATTCATTGGTGCATTGTGTCATTAGTGAACTTGCCTTGTATGTTTATCCCTCATGAAGATTTGTAGATAAATAATGAAAGAGGTACCCAACACTGGCATACTGGTATGCAAAATTCTGTTGTAGAATGATTAGCCATGTCTTGATTTGTAGGAACTTGTGCACCAATATTGTACAGTGTATTTTTTACCAGTCTTTTGTGTGGTACCATATCAGTCATTACTGAAGTAGAGGCACATGTCAAAGTACTTTAATGTTTATTATTATTCACCACTTTGAAGATCTTGTGAAAAAATGTAAATTTGTTTGGAAAGAATAATTCCTTTCAAAGCAGTGTTAGAGACATTGAGTGACTGAAGTACATTAAAGTGCTTTGTAATCCCTATGGATTTAGCACTTCCCCATGATTATACAGTACTATAATAATAATAATACCAATGAAAATATTTTAGTGTTGAGATCAGGCTGATTGAGTAGTCTTGTACTTAGTGATTAAGGACCTGTCTTTGTAAGTAGGTGAAGATGACAGAGTTCTGTTTCTCTTCAGATTGATGAATAAGACATGTGCAACACTTGGGTATTTTTATTACCCAGATGTTTCAGCTTGTTGGTATTGTATAACATAAATGTATTTGTTCAGATTGTTAACTTGCTAGGATTAATAACTGATGTTTATCTGAAAAAAGCCAAGCAGTAAGCAGTAGCTTATTTCCAAACCATACCCCCGGCCGGGATTGAACCCGCGGTCATAGTCTCAAAACTCCAGCCCGTCACGTTAGCGACGTGTCATTACGATTTCTTGAGTCAAGTAGCTTATTTCTATTAAGGCTCTCTCCTCAGGATGGGACCCACAATAGACAACTAACTCATGGGTACGGTATCTATTTACTGCGAAGTGAATAGGTGGAAGGTGCAAGGAGACAAGCTCATATATCTCCTCACTCAAGATTTGAACCTGAGTCCTAATAGTTTTGAGCTGAATGCTTTACTAATGAGGTACATGCTCATATTATCCATATGCAGTGATTTCTTAGGGAGACTAACTGGTAGCAACTGCTTTGCAGAATTCATCTTTGTCCTCAAAAAATTATGAATATGCTTGATTGGGAACTGGTGATTTATTTGGGTTAATAAAACCAGTTTTTTTTATATTTATAAATACTGTTGGTGAGGTGCCATTAGTATTATTGGATGATGAGGTAATGAAATTTAGTGAGAGGTAACAGTACAAGGGCTATTATGTACAGGTAGTTAAAATTAAAAATTTTAATAGTATTGAATTTGGAAGAAAAAAATAGTTCCAGTTTATTTAAATCAACCACTTGCAAACTGTGAAGAGAACCAAGTGTTTTACTGTGGATAAGATTTGTTTGGATTTTTTACCTGGAGGTTTAGCCACCCAGGATAACCAAAGAAAGCAATGTCATTGGGGACTTCATTTCCATTGGGGTCCTCTTCAGTCTTGTTACCCAGGATGTGACCCACAACAGTTGACTAACACCCAGGTGCCTACTCATTGGTAGGCAAGCAGGGATAACAGATGTGAGAAAACCTGCCCAGCGTTTCCATCTATGCTGGGGATTGAACCACGGAGACTTAGTATCTGAGGTGACAGTGAGGCAAAGATGTACAGTGGTACCCCGAGTTTCGTACATTAATTCGTTCCGGAAGGCTGTTCGAGTGCCGTTACCAAATGAATTTGTTCCCATAAGGAATAATGTAAATTAGATTAGTCTGTTTCAGACCCCCCGAAAATACACTTACAAAAGCACTTACAATAATACACTTGCATAATTGTTCGAGTTGGCAGCTGTACGAAACTCGGAATACCACTGTAACTACATTATTTAGTATTAAAATTTTTAAGATGCTCTTAATAAATCATCGAGTTATATGTTTAAACCTTTTTGTCAGTTGATTTTCCCCTAACAAATAAATTTGCAACATTTAGTCTTCACTGAAATTGGAGTGGGGTAACAGTGTAAGGGTTATTTTAGTTGACATACATGTACTGTACTGTATTTTGTGCCATATATTTTTTTTTTTTTTCAACAAGTTGGTCGT